CTCATGGCACTTTAATGGCTTGAAAGGAGGTGGGTGGGTAGAGAGGCAGCTTGTTGTCTTCTGGTTCATGGAAGTCATGTTGGCTGGATGTGATTCTTACCCGGAGCGCACAGTTGTGTCAAAGGCTGAGCCAGATATAACATTCTCTTAGGTTTCTAGAACCATTTGGATGTTAATACAAGTCCACCATATCAGAATTCTTTGGTTGGTTTGTTTTATCCTGCAGGAAGCCAGCTTTAGGCTGAATACAGTCATGCCCCACTTAACGATTAGCCCACATTACGACGAATCCACTTCATAACGATGTTTTTGCGATCGCAAAATGATGGTCTAAATGGTTTTTTTTCGCTTTGCGAAGATCGGTTCCCTGCTTTGGGAACCGATTCTTCGCATTACGACAATAAAAACAGCTGACCGTCAGGGTTTCAAAATGGCCACCGGGTGCTCAAAATGGCTACCTGCTGTGCCTAGGGATGGATTCCTCGCTATACAGGCACCTAAAATGGCCGTCGTATGGAGGATCTTCGCTGGACAGTGAGTTTTTAGCCCATTGGAACGCATTAACTGGGTTTTAATGCATTTCAATGGGTTTTTAAATTTCGCTTTGACATTTTCACTCTACAGCGATTCTGCTGGAATGAATTAATGTCGTTAAGCGAGACACCACTGTATATGAAAAAGGCTTAACTGCTAGAGCAGCAGGACAGTGGAACCAGTTACCTTGGGCGGTGGTGAGCACTCCCAACGCCGGAGGCATTCAAGAGAAAATTGGACAACCATCTGTCAGATGTGCTTTGATTAGGATTCTTGCATTGAGGAGTGGTTGGGCTCAATGGGCTTACAGGCCCCTTCCAACTCAGTTGTTCCATGATTTGATGAAAATACTGTGACCTTTCCTTTTAGGGCTACTTTGTTGCCTACCCATAGAAATCTCTGTAGTTCTGAGCAAGGGAGCTCATTGCAAGTTCTGTTTGCATTGTGCTGGCACTGCAGGCTTTCGCTAAATACGTAGTCAGAATTTCTCGCTTCCTATCTCACTTACGTGAAAACAAAAACATTTGCCCTGTAAGTGAGAAGCTTCGCTGTTCTGGGTTCGGGTGGTGTTCGTGTTGTTTTGAGCAGGGCAACAGGATGTTTTTCAAATCTGGCATCGTTTTTGGAGTCTTTTGATAGGCACCTCTCAGGGGCATGTAACCCACCTTCTTGTGCTTTCTGGCTCTTCCTGTTCTTTCATGAGCAGCATGTATGGGAAAAGTGCAGATAGGCTTGTTATCACATGATCCTGCGCTGTGGCTCTTTTGAAGTGGTGACTCTTTTTTTTGGGCACCGTAACAAATGTTAATGTAGGCATTCACATTCGGGTGCGCATCTTGACATCTCATTTGATAAGCTGACTAGAAGAGTGTCAAATGCTGGGCCGTATTTTTGCTACACACATGTACGTAAGTCTTTGCCTGATGCTGCATTCAGTAAACGAGAATGCATATTGTATATGTGACATTGCCCTGGAGCTTGCTTCATTTGTTAATGGTTCTAAACAGAAAATACCTCTGTGGGGCTCCACACCCCACCCCACCCTTGTCCTTATGTTCTCTTCTGTGGCACCAATCTCACTTCTGTCTGAACAAGCTATAGGAAAACGTAAGATTAGGTCTTGCTGTCTCAGCCACACTGCTAAAATTTGAAGCATTACTTGATTCTACAGTACAGAGGAGAACTAAGTAAGTGGATCTGTCAGTCATGTAATTTAAACAAGGGGTGCATCTACTTACGTTTTGCTTTATTTTCCCATCTGTCTATCTGTCTGTCTGCTGACTCGATGTGGCTCAACATCAGTTGAAACTGTACAATAATCTCCATTAAAAACCACATAAGACACTGTACTAAAATCCACAATTAACTATCTTAAGAATATTAAAACCAATGTTAAAATTAAAAAAATTAAAAATATTTATGAAATGTTGAAAATTCATAAATTGAATAAATACAGCATTCCTGAGCCCCACTCCCACTTATTGCTTAAAAGCCTTCTTGAAAAAGAAGGTCTGTGTCTGATGACGGAAGGGAAGAGTAGGGGGTATCAACCTGGTTTCTCAAGGGAGTACAGTCCCCAGCCTGGGAGCAGCCACTGAGAAGACCCTCCTACAGTCCCCAGCCTGGGTGCAGGCACTGAGAAGACCCTCTCTTGTGTCCCTAGCAGATTAGCTTGGGAAGGTGACTGCCTGGATCAGCCATGTCTATGAAGCCGGGCGTGGGAACCTATTATTCTTCAGGTGGTGAACGTTAATTCCCATCAGTCATAGCCAAGGTGGCGTGTCATTATTATTATTATTATTTATTTAATTTATACCCCGCCTATCTGGTCGGTGAGGACTTGGGAAGGTGACTGCCTGGATCGGCCATGTCTATGAAGCAGGGCTTGGGAACCCATTATTCTTCAGGTGGTGAACTTTAATTCCCATCAGTCATAGCCAAGGTGGCCAGTAGTTAGTCAACATAGGAACAGCATGTCATCAACACTAGGAGGTTGAAGATTCATTTTCCTACTATAAAGAAAGGGACTAAGGGATGGCATTTGCTTTCCATTTAGCAAGAGAATGAACTCTGCCCATTGGTCATCCTTGCCAAATATTTAGTCACCCCTGAATATTCCTGAGAGAAACTAATTGGAAAATGTTGTGCTGCCAAATTCTGCATTGGCTGAACCTTGGCAGAAGAATAAAAGGACAGTCCTAAAAGGGACTGGGGTATCTCTGGGCTCTGGTGCTTCACTGCCTGACACGGGATGGCTTCCTTGAAAGTGCAGGCTTCACTATGGAAGTGTGAAGAGACCTGCGCCATGGGGATCACGTGCACCAGTGATTTCCTAGATCACTCTGCCAGCCCAAAAGGGGCAGCACTGCCTGAGTGTTGTTGCGGCAGATATTTGCAGGGCCATATCTCCAACTAGTCGTTGCTAAAACTGGAGGCTACCTAGGAATGGAACCGATGGCTGTTACTTTTCAGGCCTTTGTCACTATCCGGGTGGAATATTTCCAGCTATCTCTGGATGCTGACAAATGGAGGTGGCAACTATACCACTGAGGTCAGGATGAGCAAGTTGTGTGCTGGAGAGCAGATCCTATCCACCTTTGTCAGTACCTGTGTTGTCTAGCGTTCATGGGACTTGTCACACAGTGACATCAAGGGGGGGCACAAGCTGCCTCCTCACAACCTGGTCTTGGTCTTTAGCCCTCCATTGGTATTTTGTCCTATTCCCATTTTCTTCCTCCTCTATTAGTTGAAAATAAGACATCACCTAATGTTAGTTACACATGCACACACCATGCCCCAGGTTCCCATACTTTGGCAACAGGATATCTGAGCAGGTTGTGGTTCTTTTTGAAGCTGAAAGATAGCCCAGGGGTTCAATGCAGATCTGGCAGCTCAATGTGCCCCTGAGCCTGAAGATGTGTAAATACTGTGTTATACAGCACATATTCAGTTTGTGTAAAACAGGGTGTGCAACCTAGATGTCCTTGGACTGCAGGTGTGATTGGCCTTAGCCTGTATACCCAATGTTGACGGATCATGGGAATTGCAGTTCAATAATGCCTGGGGAGTTGTAGTTTGGTATAAAGGCCAGACATACCTGACGTTCTGCAATATCATGTGAGGAGACTTTGACATGTGCAGAATCTGCACCCTCTTGCTATATATGTTGTGGGAATGCCTTAACTTTACATTCTGACTCCACTGTCAGTTCTTGACTACGCAATCAAAGAAGACACAGTTTGCTGTGAGGGACAGTCAGACTTCCTGCTTGGTCAGGCCAGTTGGGGAAGGAAAACCTCCCCTTTCCGCTGATCACATTTTGTGGTGTCCTGGTTGAAGCTGACCTAAGACTATTTCTGGGCCGTGGATAGTGTATGAATCATGTTGCTGAGTCAGTTACCACTTTCCTTGTGATATTTCTCTAAAAATGCGGTAAAGAATTTGAAGAGATTTAAGAATATGCATATTCAACAGTGTAGACAGGGATTGTGGGTTTGATTCCAGACTGGGCCTCCTGAGAGTAGAGCCACCCTGTGCAGCCTTGGAGGAGCTGTGTGGCCCCAAAACCAAAGAAGGGACTGGTAACCCTCTTCTGAGTACTTTATACCAGAAAGTCATAGGGCAGTCACCATAACTCTTGTGGACTTGATGTCACATAATTATGGGTAGGGTACAGAGTGACAGGCTAGGATTCAAGAGTCTTGGGTTCAAATCGCTGCTCAGCCATGGAAGCTCACTGGGGGAGTGGAACTGGTAAAATCATCCCTTGAATATCTCACTTACTTTGAGAGACGTATTAGGTCTGTGTAAGTCAGTTGTGACTTGACAATACACAACAGCTCATATGAGTTAGAGCTCCTAAATATGAAGTTCTGTATTAAGATTATTGGCATTCTCCTCTGTGCTGAGTATAGTGCTTTGCCCATTCCTCCTGAAGCCATGATTTATTTTTTGACTTGTTAGGGTGGGGGTGGAGGAGATTTATGTATGCAATGGCGCTTCTAGCCTTGGTGCCAATTCAGTAGTTCTTTTATTGCACGTTTTTTACTCACTCCATTTTTCTATTTCCTCGCTCACTTTTACCATCTCTCTCCCTCCCCTCCCCCAATTCATATCATCTGTGTCCTTGGCCTAAAGTGATGGACACTGCCAGCTTATTCTCGAAAGTAGCAGCACATGGCCCCCAATGCTAAAACCTTTGCTGTCCAATAACCTCTACCCATTGTTTAGCACTCTCTTTCTGCAGGAGCAGGGAAATGGGTCTGTCCGATTAATTCATAGAGACACCGGAAGAACAATTCCGCCTGCATGATTTGCTTGGGATATGTTTACTGTTTGGTAGTATTTGGAAATGTTCTGTGAAAACAAACTTTTGGAAAGGGACAGAACAATGCAAGGCAAAGCAGAGGCTGCATGAAAGAGCCCTAACAGACATTCATGAATCTTTTCTGGCTTTACTTTTGTAGGAGATGAATTAAGATGCAGCACACAACGTGCACAGAGGATAGGATCCACCATGCATTGGAGCGGTGCCTCCATGGCCTCAGCAGAAGCGGTACTCTCTCTGCGAGCACTTGGACAGGTAAGCAGGAAATACAACGAATATGAAGAGGAGGGAAGGACTTCTTTTTCTCTTCAGTCTGCAGGGGAGGCACACCCTGGCACAATGGGGACCCTGATTTTGCAGGAACAATGCATCCATTTGGGGCTTTGCTCTAAACTTTACAAGAGCGGTCACAGGTGCTGAATCTTATCCCCTGTAGGAGTTCCGTGCCTTGGAGAGCTCCTATAAAATGTGCACTAAAATCCAGAGTGGGTTCATTGCACCTGCAAATTCAGAACCATCCACTGCTACTGCCTATACACTGCACAGCTGCTAGTACTGCATGCTCTTAGTTTCCTTTTACTAGTGGTATTTGTTGCTGTTCAGTCTAATGATATCTGTGTTTGAACAACACTCAATAATTTGTCCTTCTTATTAAAATCCTTTCATTCCAGTTTCTAGGGAAAACATGTGGGAATCCAGCCAATTGTTGCTTAGCAAAAAATATCCCATTGAGAGCTTGGAGAGTATGCTAGAGATTAAGTGTAGGGAATATGCAGCCCTGTAGAAGGTGTTGGCGGTTCCATCAGTGTGATGGAATTGTAGAGAAGTGCCTACATGAAATTTAAATGTGAGTGATAGGAAAACCAAATGGAGGAAATCGAAAATTTGAAATGCCCCCTGTCACTGTGATTGCCAGGAAGAATTGGCCAGAATGCCTTTCAAAGAGGACTGTTCTATGGTTTTTCTGTTTATTTGGAGTAGAGGTTAATTCAAAGCAGATTTTGATATGTGTATTTGACTTTGCTTGGAAAGTCCTTCCTGCCTGAGGGTATGATAATTGTTAAGGAAACTACCCATTAGCTTGAAGGTATTTGAAAGGATTAACAGCAATGACAGGTGATTACGACATCTGTAACATCAACCAAGTAATCCTGAGAGATTTGGGAATGGAGGAGAAGGAGAGAGAGAGAGCGAGAGCGAGAGCGAGAGCGAGCTTAGAAAGAGTCTACCTGCACCTAAGGAGACCCTGGAATGAGCAAGAGAAGGAGAGTTAGCTAGGACTTCCTTATTTTTCTAAGTGTGTACCTTCTTTAACATGATCCAAGATTGGTTTCTAACGTCTTGTACCTTTGTTCCATTTAACCAAGGATGTTCTTGAGTAACTTTCACTTTAAAAAAAATTTTGTAACCATTTTATCCTTTTTGTTAAATTCTTTTTATAAAACACATGAAATCTCTGCAAGGAACTTACTTGTCTTGCATGGCAGTAGGCATGATGTGTGTTTATAAGGCGGAAGAGAGAGAAGTTCCTTTAATTTTAAAAAGGTGTTAGAAGTAGAGCAAGACTGCAGGCAGTTTCAAAGAGATTCAGCTTGGTTCTTTCTCCATCCCAAGGTCTGGCTTCCAAATGACAGCTTTGCGTGAATGCCTTAGCAACGTGTACAGACAGTCTCAGAATGGGTACCATGTTTTCCCCCAAATAAGATAAGGTCTTATATTAAGTTGTGCTCCAAAAACCACTTTAGGGCTTATTTTCAGGGGACGTTTTATTTTTGTCAAGTACAGCCATCTACATTTATTCAGATGCAGTCATGTCATCTTCTTCTGGTTGCTGCACAATGGTGAGGGTAGGGTTTAACTTAACTAGGGCTTCTTTTCGGGGTAGGGCTTATATTATGAGCATCTTGAAAAATCATACTAGGGCTTATTTTCAGGTTAGGTTTTTATTCTAGGGAAAACGAGGTATTTTTCAGTTCTTGGGCAGTAATACTGGATGAGAGCATGGAGAACGTATTGCAAGTAAGCCTAGACATCACTGGGATAGACAAACAAACCCTTTGACTTGGGATAAAGCAGCTTCCTAAATTTAATGGCCATTTTTGTGCTGGCCCACTCTTGCACTGTGATACAACTGCCACATTGCTTGAAGCCATAGGCCTCAGTCCAGTTACCAGTCCCAGTTAGAGTTGATTCGCTGAAGCAGTGGAACTTACAGAGATGTTGATTTATTGTTTAGTAATGAATATACTGGATTGACTCCCTAAAGAATTGACTTCCTAATGGACTGACTCCCTAAAGGAACCCACAGGCTTAGTTTAGAAGACCTGAGCAGGGCAGGTGAGGACAAAACATTTTGGAGATTGCTCATTCATAGGGTTGCCATGAGTCAAGGGTGACTTGATGACTTGAACATCTTGGATACTTCAAAACTCCCATGAGGGTTGCCATTAATCAGAATGCAACTAAACAGCACATTACAACAACTATAATTGAGACAATTTGATATAGGCCATAGCAGTTACTGCTTCCCAGTAGTGGTTCAACAGATGATGAAAGCTGTCAACATTTTACAAAGAGTAGAGAGAGGAAGAGCTAACCACAAATGCCAAGGTAAGGTGGTGGGGCTCATTGGAGAAGTCAGTGCTCCTCAGAAATGTGCACAACTTTCTGCCTGTTCTGAGAAAAACCTCTAACCTAGGACCTATATGAATTTTACCACTGACAAACGGTAGGTGTGATGCCACAGAGGTAGCATCTTAGCGAAGCTACAACTTGCTGCCAACTTCCTCCAGGGCTGAGATAGCACTGTTGTGCAAAATTGGAGATTGGGGACAAAGATACCATATGGAAACATTTTCCCACTGGCACACAGGTTTTGTACAACCTTTGTTGTTCTGGACTATGTATGTCACCCATGCTCACTCTGTGAACTCCAGGTCTTACTGTCGCTCAACAATCAATATCAAACTTATTCACTATTAGTACCATCAGTCAAACCTGTATTCTGTTTTTATCCAGGCCTTATAAGCTCTATGATTCTATGATTTCATGTACTTGCTGACTTTCAGAAAAGTCAAATCTAAATAAAGTAAACCAGTTGATCTATTGTGTGCTTTACTTGGTGAGGATGCCATGGTGCCTCTGGTTATAAAATAGGAGCTGAAAAAGTAAATGCTGTAAATAGTTGAGCTGAAGAACTAACTATGATTGTAAAGTTGGGCTCCTATTAAGTGCCTTTTCACGTGTATTTATAAAGGTAACAAATGCTCACCTTTTGCTTACTGATGTCTCAGGGTGCCATCTTTACTCAGAAGTAAGTCACATTGAATTTAGTGAAATGTATTTCCAGGGAAGTTTGTGTATGGGACTGCAGCCTTTGATGTTCTCAGGCTGAAATAGTTGAGCTGAAGAACTATGATTGTGAAGTTGGGCTCCTATTAAGTGCCATTTCATGTGTATTTATAAAGGTAACAAATGCTCACCTTTTGCTTGCTGATGTCTCAGGGTGCCATCTTTACTCAGAAGTAAGTCACATTGAATTTAGTGAAATGTATTTCCAGGGAAGTTTGTGTATGGGACTGCAGCCTTTGATGTTCTCAGGCTGTTAGTTTCTCTGGCTTAATTAAAAGCATTTTCTGTCATGAACACTGTGGAAATATCTTTGTATTCTCAGTGAACACTGGTTGCTGAAACGCCCAAAGAAGGGGCAAAAGACTGGGAGGAAAATGTCTGAAACCTCTTCATGTCTTCCATTTTTCTGCAAAACCTTTTGTTTGTAGAAGAGAATGTTTGGTGCACCAACTATTTTCTATGTGCTGAATCCCACTCACCAACCCCTTAATTTTCAGCAGCTTGTATTGAATATCTTTGTATCCTCAGTGAACACTGGTTGCTGAAATGTCCAAAGAAGGGGCAAAAGACTGGGAGTAAAATCTCTGAAACCTCTTCATATCTTCCTTTTTTCTGCAAAAACCTTTTGTTTATAGAAGAGAATGTTTGGTGCACCAACTGTTTTCTATGTGCTGAATCCCACTCACCAACCCCTTAATTTTCAGCAGCTTGTATTACGGTCCATGGATCTGTATCATTTGTGATCCTGTTTGGATCCAATGGTGGTGCTGCAGGTTAAACCGCAAAAGAGCCTCGTGGCGCATTGGTTAAAACGCCGTACTGCAGCTAAAACTGTGCTCACGACCTGGGGTTCAAATCGCAGGTAGCCGGCTCAAGGTTGACTCAGCTTTCCATCCTTCCGAGGTCAGTAAAATGAGTACCCAGTTTTCAGCAGATTACAGTCCATGGATCTGTCTCATTTGTGATCCTGTTTGGATCTAATGGTGCTGCTGCTGCAGGTTAAACTGCAAAAGCTTCTGGGCTGCAAGGTTGAAAGACCAGCAATTCAAATGTTGCTCCTCCCAGCTCCTGCCAACCTAGGCAATTCGAATCCCAGCTCCTGCCAACCTAGCAGTTCAAAAGCATGTAAAAATGCAAGTAGATAAATAGGGACCACCTCGGTGGGAAGGTAATGGTGTTCCATGTCTTGTCGTGCTGGCCACGTGACCACGGAAACTGTCTACGGACAAACTCGCTGGCTCTACAGCTTGGAAACAGGGATGAGCACCACCCCCTAGAGTCGGACACAACTGGACTAAATGTCAAGGGGAACCTTTACCTTTACCTTTGGATCCAATGGCTGCCTCCATCTTGGTGGCTTTTGCTCCATCTTACCTTTACCTTTGGATCAAATGACTGCCTCCATCTTGGTGGCTTTTGCTCCATGTTGTCTGTCTTGCTAGTGTTGAAAAGCAGTAGCAGTAGCAGTGTGGGCTCTTCATGACTTGTGTAGAAGGAAGTGCTGATACATGAACCAGTTGATGTAGAAGGAAGTACTGATACATGAAACATGTATTTAATTCCTTTTTTATGCTCTGCTGACATACACACACTTGCACTTGCCCACATAGGCACATTGCTAATGGGATCATTTTATCTAGTTACCATGGAGATAGCAACAAGGAATGCAATAGTCTTGACAAGACTATGTGGAATAGAATAATTAAAATGTGTATGCTGTAGATTATGTGACTAAAAAGGAGACAAGCACAAGTTTACATTTCCTTTCTGGCCATGTCCCTTCCTAGATTATGATTTGGAACTCTTAGGTCCTTCGGATAGTCTGGTTTACATCTCCTTCGGCCACAGCCAGTGGAGTCAATAATAAAGAACTGATGGACTGCTCATCAGACATATCTGGAGGACCAAAAGTTTCCCATCTCACTTTCAGGTTAGCACAGGGAAAGGTCCCTTTTTATTTCAGCATAGAGGGAACAAAATGTTATACCCTGTGGGCTGTTTGTAAAAAAAAAGCAGGCAGTGAGCTAATCTTACCAATGTGTGGATTTGTGGCATTCTGGAAGTTGATATTCCCAGAACACAATTCTTCACACCTTGATATAATGCATTTACTGTGCTCACATCTCAAACTCATCCTTCTCATGTGTATAGGGCGTCTCCGCTTGTCCTCCAGATGTGTGGCAGTCAGGGCTGTTTCATGTAGAGCAGATTAGTGAGTGCAAGGGAGGACTGCCATGTTGTGTCTGTGGTGAATGGTAATATGTTGGGCAGAAACAAACTCTTCAGTTCAGCACACACACAGACTGTGTCAGGTGCCAGAAATAATCATCATACTGTACTTGGTTGCATTCTTAAGTGTGAAAAGAGAGGTGTCCAACTTCATGTTCTGGAGTGCAACATACACAACCTGTATGTCTGTAAAATCTAGCAGGTGAGGGAATATTCTCTATTCAGCTAGTGAATCTATATAGGTCTATTGTGAGGGCTGGAAATGTTTTTTATATCTGTGCTGTGTTTGTGGGATGACTCTGTTTCATTTCTTCTTGACAGCTGGGTTTTGCCTGAATTGTTGGAGTCTTCAGGAGCTGGTTAGTCGTGATGCAGGGAACTACCTCATCCTCCTGGAGAAAATCCTGCAGAAAACCCAGGAGGTAAAAGAAGGCATTGAAGTGGTCATGTGAGGTGATTTCTCAGTTGGTCTGTGGTTGTAGCTGTTTTAGAAACCACAGGCTGGCACCTGTTGAAATTTGGCAACACTAAAAAGAATAAGTTTCACTCTTGTGGGCCTCCCCCTGTCCAGTTGGTGCCTGGGCTTGGCATAGGTTGAGTCCTACTTGGAGCTGTCTCGATGTTCAGAAAGAGGCATTGGGCCAGGGCAGCAGACTTTGAGGGGAATCCAAGGTCAGCCACACCTGTGGCGGTACATGCGCTGTGCAAAGCATCTCCGAGACGAGGCTCCTTGAGCATTTGGGGTGGCTTGGTCCCAGCCCTTGGCCCCACCTCTGGTTGAAATTGAGAGCTGGTGAAGGAAACAAGGGGTCGGTCCAAGCACCTGTGTGACAAAATAAGGGTCAAGTAGAGATTTCCGACTTCCTGTTTTGAGAGGCAACCCCCCCAACCCATTTCACATTTTACACTTGGAGCTGTGCAGCAGGTTGGGTACCACCCTCCATTGTTTACCAGCTGTATTGTGAGTTGGAGGGAGCAGTGGGGGAATCAGGAAGGGAAATCGCAGCTTTGTGGCCAAAGAAAGGCTTGCTATATCTTTGCCTCAAGTAAGGGTCACGGCAAGGTTGCTGCAGCAGGATTAATATCACAGGACTTCCTGTGAAGTTGTTAGATAGGATTCCCTCTCACCCCCCCTTTTTTTTTCAAATTCCTGTGGACAGTATGACTTCGTTTCTGTGTCCTAAAAATAATATTGTAGTTGATCATGCAGAAATATGTTGAAGCAGGCGAGTGTCTCAAGAGGAAAAGACCCAGTTACCTGCCATAGGACCGACCACTGTGTCCCTGTGGCTGTGCAGGAGGAATATTCAAAGAACAGGAGAAGCCACATTACTGCTTAAATGATATATTGGGGTTAGGATGTTTAATACTAAGCTGCCGCCACCTCCACCCCACCGCCATCGTCCCTGGCTTCCCAGATGCGCAGGCACCTGGCACCTAGCTGATAGGCAGCAACAAGGTGGCAGCACAACAGAAGCAGGTACCCCCCCTCCCCTCCCCATCACAAACTGGAACTGAACTGCAAACCAGTTTTCTGGGTGGTTTGTGGCTAACCACAAACCATCATGAGCCAGATTTTTCAGGTTCATGCCCATCTCTAATATTAAGTTTTAATTATTAGAACTTGCTGTATTTTAGTGGAACTGTACATTTTGTCAGCTGATTTGAGTTTCTGCTGCTTTGGAAGAAAGACAGGGTATAAATGGATAAATTAATTAATAGTAGTGGCAGTAACACAATTCAAAATAAAATGAAAATGAAAATTCTTCAGTGGCTTATTCCCTCTGGTGACTGGTATTGTATTACAATGTCTGAGGTAATGAGGCCACAACAAAAGTAACTTAGTGGGAGGATTAGTTTTGGCCACTAGTGCTAAGATTCATACGCCTAGAGTACTGACCAGCCCTGCTTTTCTGCTTCAGTTGTGTTAGGACTTTTGGTGGAGAATGAAACTTAATTTAGCAGGGATAAAACACCTTTGCTGTTTTCAGTTTCCGTAGAGGCAGCCATCCTAATCTGTTTTAGTTTGTTGACCAAATTATAGGAGAAAAATGAAAAGAGAAAGCAAGCAAAAGACAAAGGACTTGATGTGTCTGAGGAAAGAGATTTTGATCCATGAAAGCTCCCTCTGAAACCAAGTTGCTAGGTCTCTAAGGTTCCACAACATTTTGTCCTCCCCACTCCCACATTTGGGTTTTTTTGTGTGTTTTCCCCTCTAGGTTTTTGTCAATTCACTGCTTCTGATGTTTTTTATTTCATTTAATTCAAAGTATTCCTATTGGCCTATGAAGCCATATATGGCTTCAGATTATCTGGGATATTAAAAATACTGCCCAGCCCCGCTATCGAAGGTCCATGAATTAAGGTATTTTTCAGAAGGCCTGCTGTGAGCTGCCCCTTTCAGAGTCATGGCATTCACTTCCCAGGAAAATGTATGATTTATTTATTTAAAGTAAAAGCAAAAGCAAAGCGTGCTGCTTATATACTGCCCCATAGTGCTTCAAGCACTCTCTGGGCAGTTTACAAGTTAATTATGCAGGCTACACATTGCCCCCCCCCCCCAGCGAGCTGGGTACTCATTTTACCAACCTCAGAAGGATGGAAGGCTGAGTCAACCTTGAGCCGGCTACCTGGGATTTGAACCCCAGGTCGTGAGCACAGTTTTGGCTGCAGTACAGCGGTTTAACCACTGCGCCACGAGGCTATTAAAATATTGTTATCTTGCCTTTCTCCTTAAAAAGAACACAAGAGCAGCTTACATTATTAAAAATCCATATTTAAAAGCTAAAAACAGTATACAAGTCTTTAAAAAGAATTAAGCAAGTATTATATTTAAAAGGTAATAAAATCAATCAATAAGTTTTGCCTGGCCACTGTATTGAGTTTTAGGCTTTTAGAGGTCTGTGATGCCAATGTTCTATCTACTCTCTATCTTTATATATTTTGCTGTTTTATTTGATTTGAATCTTTTCTAATGTTGATCGCATTATTGTATTATTACTGCTTTGACTGCATGTGAAACTCATTGTATATTTGTGTAGTATAAAATATAAAGTGTACAAACTTTTAGTGCGTGCAAATGAATAGAATAAATAGTTTTAAGACTGGAGTGTAGAAGCTTTGTCTGTCTAGATGTTGGACAAAACCACTCCCATAATCCTTTACCATTGGCCATACTAATCAGTACTTCGGGAGCTGAAGCCCAAATTATCTGAAGGACCAGTGGTTCTTCTGGAAACATGGGCCTACCTAACCTTATGACAAACTGTTTCTGCATTATATTTGTCTACCTTTGGCTACAGTGGCTGATGCTCCTTGTTATCAAGAGGGCTTCTTTACAGCAGTAGACACCACCAGTCACATCCAGCATAGACCATTCCTCCAGTGATCAGGAAGGTCCACAAGTAGACAATGAGTGACTTGTTACTGGAACAAGTGACATGTGGAGGAACCCTTATATCAAGATAAACAAATAGGTATCTTACTGGTATACAAACAAGTCTAGTTTTAAAGCTTCTAGGTATGTTAAAGCTTCTAGATAAGAAGAAAGATAGTTTTCTTCTCACGAACCCCTCCCTCCTGGGCATCTTAATTTTATTACTATTTTTTGCAGGTCCAAGAGAAATGTGACTATGATCTTTTTGTTCCATTGGCCCTGCTTTTTGGTGCAGCAGTCCTGTGTGTAAGTTTTAAATTCCAATGGTGCAATTTCCATCTTCAGTGGTTAGGCATGTGTTTTGTGGCATTCTAGGTTGAGCGAGAGAGAAAAAAACCTTTCTAAAGCAGTGGGACTTGAGGCCTAATGACTTATTATGAGGGAGTTTTGAAGTGGGCACCAGATTTTCAGTCATGTTTGAGGAAAGAAACCTATGATGTGACATCATGCATGCAGCTCCGTCACTTCCTACAATAGACAGTATGTGAACAGGTGTTAGAAAACACTGATTGCAATAGAATGCCGAATATCATTTTTTGTGAATATTTCTGGGGAGAAAAGGAGAGGTGAGTGGGAAATGCATGTCATGCTGTGTGTCCCACAAGGGTTAGGCTTTCACTTTCCTAACATCTACAAAATTTGTGCCCGTTTACCCTGATCAACTAAGGGCACATCCATATGGAATATTTGTTACAATTTATGTGCATGGATGACATAGATATTCCCCCTGCCCATAATCTAGATGACATGGTTTAAACTGGTACCAAATGTGACAAAGAGCAGCAAACCCCCTCCCCCACCTTTCCCATTCTTCTTGAAACCACCTCTAGGAGATGGACTATTGTTTTGTTTGTTTCATTTTGTAGTGGTGGGCAGGGATCAGGCATCAAGAACTTCTTCAGCCAGAAGTTTTCAGTTTAACCCCATTCTACTTAATTAGACCTCCCCTCTCCAAAACACACAAAAAAGCAGATGATCCTTTCTAGAGTTTCTAACAGATTTTCAAGCACTGGAGTTGAAGGCAGCTGATTTTGCATGTAGATCAATAGCAGGTATCTGCTGCTGTCACAACTTTTCACTTTTGGTGTTAATCTACGAAAGCCAAGAGGAGGAAAAAGAAAAGCTCCCTCACAAAAAGTTATTAAAAAGAGTTCTAAAGTTTCTTCAAGCTTTTTGAAAGCTTTTTTGATCCATTTCTTAAAGAGATGTAGATTTATGAAGAGACAAGTGGGATTGAGTGGAGAGAAATCCCAGTAAGATCTGTATTGAATTGGAAAAGAATAAATACTTTGTCTTGATGAGCCCTGAGGAGAATTAATCAACTGAAGTGAAGGGGTTCAAAACCATTCAAATTGCAGTTTGTGTAGGTGGGACCAGTGAATGATTAGTTTCAGAATAATTGTAGAAGGCCAGAGTTTGCCACACCCTTCCTGTAACTCACACATGAGGTATATTTTAAAGGCAGGCAAGACTGTAATGTTAGCTATGGGGATAAATTGAAACACCACAGGAGCTCACGCTGACAAGCCGGCATATTTAACATGAAGGCAGATTCAAGCCAAGCTCTTGGTTTCCCACTAAATGTGTTTTTTTACGCTTTTACCATGTTCCCTCCTAGATACCTCACTTTCCTTCCGATTCTGACCTGCTCCTGAGAGCCATACAGACTTACCGTGCCTTTCTCACATGGCCTGTGCCCTTCTGTAACATTTGCCAGGAACTGTTGACCTTCATCAGTAATGAAGTCAAAGCCCCAGGTAGGAATACTGTACAATGTCACTGAAGGGTCACTGCTTGGAGTAGGATGGTGTTAATGAAGAGTTAAAAGCTGCGCTGGGTGGTAATGCTTACAGGGAATAATCCTGGAAGTATGTGCACAAAGTAGGCATACTCTGAATAAACATAATTAAGTGAAGTAATATAGCTCTAAAACGAGAGTGAGGAAATTCTGGCGTTCTAGATGTTTTGGACTGAAATTCCCCATCTGAAGGGAGCTGAAGTCGAAAACACCTGGAGGTGTTCCTTATTTTCATTGCAGGGATTAGGAGTGGGTTCATGGTGGTTAGTTCAAGGCCATTTGATAAATCCATGGCTCAGGTGACTTTTCAAGTAGAGACTTATGAGCCTGCCCTCAGTATATCAAGCCTCTGGGTGTCTTTTGCCAGATGATGGTTGCCATTATCAGGTGGAACGTCTCTTGTACAAATGATTTGCCAGACAAAATAGGTGTGATTATGCTTTCATGTTCTCCCACACTTGAGCTCCACTTGACGGCACAAATGACTCATCAGAATTTTCCAGTAACAACCAAGAGTCCATTCATGTAGCTTTGGACTTTGCATTGGTAATTCTGGTGTCAGATAATTTCCATATGGTACATAGCAACCTATGTGGTTTTGAAGGGAGTGATAGTGCAGCCTCACCTTAACAAACCTAGGCTTGGATCCTGCTGATGATCACTGCTTATAACAGTTCCTGTATTTTATCCAAATAAATCTTTCTTAATTAGGCTGCAGGAGTCCACCTTCTGCTGCTCCTCATTAAAAAATTTTCCCAATTAAATGAAGAGTCTGACACAAAATTCACCTTCCCCACCTGAAAAGCATATTTGAGTTTCTGTTTCTCTTGGAAAAGACTCTTAATGTAATTACAGAGGAAGGAGACATAGCATTTTTTTACTGAGTTCCTTGTTAATCTTGTTTCTGTTGTCAGATTTTAGACTTTAGTTTTACTTAAACCTTCAGTTAATATTTCCTTCCTTCCTTCCTTCCTTCCTTCCTTCCTTCCTTCCTTCCTTCCTTCCTAGGGATATCATATCAAAGGCTGGTTAGGACAGAACAAGGCCTTCCTTCAAAGAGTGGTGAAAGTTCAGTCGTGTAAGTAAAATACTCAAAATAGCTGATTTCATTTTATTGCTAGAAGTTTTTCCTCGGGGTCACTTTTATTTAAGGTTCAGTTTTCAGCAAACCTCAGTCCCAGGATTCATTTCACAGTTTGGAAAAGTTACTTTTCCTCAGCAAAGGGTAGGCCTTGGGGTAAGGAGACTGGTGTTCCCTCCTATCCTCCTTTAGTTGATGGTGGTGCTCATCTTCATTGGCAGCATCTAGGGTTTCTTGAAGGCTAGTTCTGGAAGGCTCACTCCCAATTCACATCATCAAAGTGGAGGTGAGACCTAGGTCGAAAAGAATACATTTGAGCATCAACTCAAGACTCTCAGATATGTCCTGGTCTAGTCGTGAATTAAACTGGGTGTGGTGTGATGCCAGACCTATGAAATCCAGGACTCATTGCCCTCTGCCTCTCGTTTCAGAGTCCACCTCATCACTGGATGGATTATCGAGAAGGGAGGGAGCTTGTGACATTTCTGTGACATCTCCTATCACAAGATAATCTGAAGAATGTCACTGTTAATGAAGTTGTTATTTTCACAGCGTGCAGCAGCCTGTACACATGGTGAATGCAGTTAAATGAAAGGAGAGTGCCATCTGCTGGTATTTTGAGGAGAATTAATCACAATGATGTGCAGACCACACTGTGTTTTTCTCCTGTTAGCCATCATTAAAACAGTAATACTCCATAGGCTGTGAAACTGGCTAAGGACCTCGCAGTAGACTTCAGGGCCCAAAGCAGGCTGTGCCTCCCTGTTTTGGATCTGGGCTATTGACTGCTTGGTATTATAACTTCTCCCCTCAGAACAGTCCTGCTGTTGAACCCTTCAGAGGTTGATGGGGAATTTCTGTCAGTTGCTGAAAGGCTGAGCACCACAGAGCATTCCCAGCACACGTTACTGGTGACACTCGTGGAGCACATCTATCAAGCTAACTTTGGAACCCAGTGTGACTTGGGAAGACTCCGACAAGCACTGAAGGTAGCAGAGACATTGCGGTTCTTGATGTGCACAGCTGCTGCATGCTTTTGTTTGTTGTATGCTGTTGAAGCAGCAATAAGTCTCTGCTCTCAGAGTCGTCTTTCCATTCAAGGTCTTGCACAGGTTCCAGTCCTTTCCTCACACCGAAATCTTTTAATGCACGATGTCAGGCTACCATGGATCTGTAGCAAGTGTCATTGATGAATGGGTTTGGATACAGGCTTGTTAGAGTAGACCCATTGAAATAAATGGGGCTTAAGATTTCTCATGAATACCTTTAAGCCTCTTTCAGATCATTGGGTCTGCACTTTGTGTTGCCTAAGTGTGGATCTAGTCCAGTGTACTTAAAACTACAAAGAACCAGGGAGAGAGGTTAAAGAAAAAGCTCACATCATACTTTCCAGGGCTTATGAGCATCTGAGCTCAACCTTTCTGTGTTAAAAATGTAAATCATTGACAAGATTGATGAGACAGTGTTGTCTTTTGAGTTAGTGTATTGGCAGCAGAGAAATCTCATTTCCCCCCCTCAACTTTCATATATTTGTGTAGCTAGCATATTTTTTTCTGCTCTGTCCTATAAGTGCAGGAGTCGTGAATGTGAGTGCCGTCTGGGCTGTGGTTGTGCAAATGTCAAAAGCACCTATCGGCTGAAGATTTCCAGTATTCCTTCTGATGTGTGTCAACCTCTTTTCCTGCTATTTTTTAAAAAAACTTAACTTTTAACAACTGCTGGCCATGTCACTGTACAGTACTTAAAATCCCAAGCTATAGAAGGAGAGCATTTCATGGTTTGGGTGGGAATGCCACTCCTGCCAATTTGACACTGGTATATAAAATATATCTTGCTCTTTTCTTTCATATCAATATCTTATTTAAGTGATAAAATTTCTATTAATAATGCTGTTAGCCTTTTATAGGCCTCTTGTTTTGTTCATATGCATCCCTTTGTGGTGGAGAATCTTTTAAAAACCAGTGTGCTGTTGCTCAATCTCAGAATTGAACTCGGCTACATAGTTGCTGAAGTCATGTTGCACAGTCATACAAGCAGCATAACATTTGGAAGCCAATTTCCATTAATTAGGAAATCTCTAGACATTATCTGTTGCATACTGAATCCGTTACAATACTTGTGTAACTGTGCTACCGGATTTCAGCCAGTGGTCGATAGCTGTCAAATAGTGTAGCAAGGGCCTATAGACAGTGGTGTGTTTGCATCTAGACACCCAAATTGTGCATTGTTGAGTTTCAACCACAAGCAATGATTGCTGCCCAAGTGTGACCAAATAGGGTGGCAATGACTGCATCCTATGAAAACAGACTCTCTGCTGATTATTTTCTCTCTCCTCATAGCTAAAGTCAGTGGAAGAGTTGATGGAGATATATACCAGCACCACGGATGCCCAGGAGATGGCAGCTGTGAGCAACTGTGACCCTTCCATAGCTAGGGAGCAGCTAGAATCTGCCTTGCTGGAGATTGCAAAGGCAAGAAGCCTTCCTGTAATCACAGGTAATACATTTGGTCTGTATGTGTGTGTGTTCTTACTTGGTGGAGCCCATTCCCATCCCTTCTTAACTTGATTTCTTTGCCTCTTCAGGGGAAGACCAGCCATGTAAGCTTCGCCTGATCTCTATCCCTCTTGCCCGGTGTTATACCTACAGATGGGATACTGATAATTTTGGTAAGCTTAAAACACACAAACCAGTCCAGGCTCTGTGGACTTCCATGAACAGCTGACTAGATCTTTTGGAAAGGAGGCAGGGGGTGATCTGATTTACCTATAGTGACGCTGGCTATAATCGGGTGGAATTCTAACTTCCTGATTTTTCAAACCTAAGGCAGATACAGTGACTTTTCCCAGGATATTACAGAGTACAGTACAGTATATAAATGTAGTTTCAAATATGATGGTATATTTAAATCAGCCTTCCCTCCACCCAGCATCTTCTAGGTTGCTGAGCCTACAACTTGCAATGGTACAGATCCTTAAAAGAAATAGAAATTGTATCTCAATATATCTGTAGGGCACTGAGTTCTGGAATACTGCTTTAAGCTGTGTATGGTTTCCTCTTTCAACTCCAATTTTTAAACTGGTATCTCTCTTCTTGTTGCAGATATCTTGAATGAGGTACTAGACAAAGAAGGCTACTACCCAAAACCAGTGGTGATGGAAGACGAGAAGGAGGTGGACAGTTGCTTTCATGAAAGAGCGTCGTTATCCACCCTTACCTCTGTTTCCAAAGACTCTGTGTATTTGGCTTTGTCCAAGGACAGCCCCTGTGACTCACGGGCATCTGTCATCTCCACTCTTTCCAAAGACTCTGAGCTCCCACTCAAGTTTTTTGTCTCCAGCCTGAAGAACTGCATGGACAGTGGCTACGTGGAAGACAGCGACGAGAGCTCCCCTGAGCTAGTGAGCCACTTCGATCTGAAGGAGGAGAAAGTGTCCCCTAGGCATCGGCTGAGCAACAAGTTGTACAAATTGTTCAAGAGCAAGAGCCAGCTGATCCTGGGCAGGGAACTGAGGGATGTTTCAGAGGTAGCCTCCCTCTCTCTGCCGTTACGCCGAGCCGAGAGTCTCTGCAACCCCTTGTCTAAGAACCGCATCCCTACCCGCTCCCGGCGGGCACAGTCTCTACCACAACATGTGCTGAGTGCCACACTTTCACAGAACCACGTGTCACAGAATACCTGTGTCCAGCGCAGGCCGTTCTTGAGCTGCGACGAGGATACCAAGATCTCAACTCTGCGAGTGGTTGTGTTTGGTTCTGACCGCATCTCAGGGAAAGTGGCCCGGGCTTACAGCAGCCTTAAGTGAGTGGAAGGACACTTTTCAGCTCTTCTTTTTTACCTCCAGACCTTTGCACCCTCATCCCTTTTTGTTGCCCTCCTTTGGACCAAAGAGAAGCTTCTGTGTGCTTTCTGCTCCTTTCCTTCATATCTTCTCTTACCATCTCTGAAAAAAAGGCATGATGCTGTGCACTGTGTCCCATGACCTTTCCCATCGCTTGAGGACAACTTGTCTGGGATTCTGAGTTCAGTGGAAGCCAGTTATGGAACAACATATGGGCTTCAGCTGGCTTTCTTTCATGCACCCACTCTTGTTCCTTCACTACAGATCTCAAGAAAGCAGCTGTCCCTGGCTGACCCGGTACTTCAAACTGCAGTTTTACTATGTGCCTGTGAAGAGGAGTGGCTCTACCTCTTCTGTACCAAGCAACCTTCCTCCTTCTCCAGGCGATCCCTATTCCCGCACTTCTGTATCAATGGTATGTCTTCGGAGCAATGGATGGATATGTTCTGTTTTACAGTAGGGCAGAAACTGTGCTGCAAAAGCTGTTGAGAGGATTCCCTTGTTTGACCTTCTTGCTTGCAACATTGTCTGACATAAAGGGTGATCCTGGGAAGCTTTGAGTCCGTAGTCGTTTGTGAGATAAGGAGACAGCCACTGTTTGACAAAGTCAAGGATTTCAGGTTTTCTAGCTGAGCACTTAGAAGGACCTCCATCTCTCTTCTGTGCTGTTGCCTTCTGTGATTGCACATGAAAAGCGAGAGAAGCCAAAGGTGAATGGGGCAGGAGAGTCAACTACTGATCACAGAAGACCCCATCTCCTGCTGAGCGAGAGGCTTCTCCAACCTGTCACCCTCCAAATGGTTTGGACTGCAGTGCCCATCATCTACCAACCATTCTGTTAGTTCCTCTTGCTGTTGGAGGGATGATGGAGGATATAGTCCAAAATGCCTGGAAAGTACAAGTTGAGGATGGCTGTTCTTTAAAAAGGGATGTTTTAGCTGTATTTCCTGCATTGTCCGAGGGCTAGGCTAGATCAGTGGTTCTTAACCCTGGGTTATTCAGGTGTTTTGGACTGCAACTCCCAGAAGCCTTCACCACCAGCCGTGCTGGCTGGGGTTTCTGGGAGTTGCAGTTCAAAAACAAGGTTAAGAACCACTGGGCTAGATGACCTTCAACCTTCCTTCCTGCAGTATTGTGACTGTATGCTCAAGATACTGGAGGTAATTTGAGCACAGCTGCTAGGTATTCTGTCCTTCAATAGCAACACATTTGCTAATGGTAGGTGCTTCTCTGACTCTGACTTTAGGATCCTAGTTTGGTGAGGACGGAGAGCAGCACAAATGATATCTCCCTATACATAGGCATGCTGGATCCATGGTATGAACGCAACGTTCTTGGCCTAATGAACCTTCCCACAAGTGTTCTGTGCCAGGTATGTTCCAGACAATATGTTCCCTAAAGAAGCAGGGCCCTCTTCTTGTAGCATCTAGGTGGTGCAGCAACATCATAGGTACTTGCATGCAAATAATGTTCTCTTGTTTTGCCTGTGATGAACTAAGAAGAAAACATGAGTCAGGAAGATGTTACTATGCTCACTAAGCTTTATGCAAAGGTCCTGGGATGGCTGACAGGCAGATCTGCATTTGGTGCTTGTTAAAATTGCATTAAAATGAGTTTGCATGCTGAATAATGTTAAATATACTAGATATTGATACAGTATCTTGCTATTTTACATTGACTCACAATGTCATGTAATCTTAGACTCAAAGCTCTGCATTATTTTCTGGCTAAGAAAAGCTGAAATAGCAAAAAGGTCCACAGAACTGTGCTGACCTTGAAATAAGTATTTCTGAGAAGCAAAGGGAAAAGGATTTCTGAAGCAGAGGCGGGTCTGAAAGCCAGACAGCTATTGGGGCATTTTCGTGTGTTTGCCCTGTTCTGCTGGCACGTGTGGAAGGGAAAGAGTTGTTCACTTCTTATTCTTTTCATAGCAGTCCATCAAACCTGAAGGCGAACCTTTAGAGGAAACAGCAGAGCAGCTTCCCATCCTTGCTGACATGATTCTTTACTACTGTCGCTTTGCTACTCACCCAGTGCTGCTCCAGGTCTACCAGACAGAGGTGGGTTGGGTCAGGACTGTTGTTCCCTGCATTCCCCTGAGGTTAACAGGCCAGTGTAGGTGGGGACTCCACAACCTGGGGGCACCACCTTCACTTAGTAATCTCTCTTGCTTGGTGAATACTGTACAGAGAATTTCTAACATGGTCGCAGTTGTCATGTGAGCAAGAGCAATGACAGTCATTAATAGAAACGTTGGTACCTTAACTATAGTAGAGTTCAGAATAGCAATGGAGGTATTCATATTTGTATATGAATACCCTTGCACTGCTGGATGTAACGAGGGTCCGGCCCCCTGGGGCCAGACTGTCCACTCATCAGCCCCGCTGTTCCTTCCAATCACTCTGGAGTTCGTGATCGGCTATCCACTCGTCAGCCTTGCAGGGAGACTCATCTTCCCTCCTTCTGCCAGGAATAAATAGCCGATCAAAAGCTCTGGAGTGATAAGAAGCGAGACCAGAGCCGGAGGCAGATGTGCGAAGCAGGACCATTTTGGCCAAACTGTGATTTGCAGTGGGCTGTCGTGTCAGTGCTTCCTGTTCTGTGATGCAAGCTTCTCTCCAAGTTCCCAGTCCTATCTACATAAAATGTCACTGCTGATTTTCTCCTCACTGCTGATTTCATTATACACAGTCTAAGTGATTATTTCACCAGCATAAGAGTTTGAGTCTTTCTGTTCTTCTTTCTAATGATCCTTATGGAAAAAGAAAAAGTGAGATAGAAAGAGGGAGGTCTTTCAAATTGTGCCTCCATGTTCTGTAAAAGTTTGCCCCTCCTCAAAGCTAGTTTTAAAATAGGGTGGACACACAAACAAGGGGACGGGTTCATAGGATTTTGTACATATTGGGCAATGATATAATGACCTCTTTCTTCCTTGGTTATATAGCTTACCTTCATAGGAGGAGAGACAAAGACTGAGATTTTCATCCACTCCTTAGAGCTGGGCCACTCAGCAGCCACGCGGGCCATCAAAGCTTCTGGTAAGCATGTCATCCAGAAATAAGGTCTTTTTGTGCTCCTTGGTGTTAATTCCCAGCTTTGGAAATATTCTCCTCTTGGGGAAATAGAGTCAGAGACATCCCAAACCTTCAGCAGGAGGTAAGAAGCAAATGGTTAAAACCATACTGTGTCCTGCCGGAAGGTCTTCTTCTGAGAACACACTGCAAGGATTTGGAACTGACTGTGACGACACACCTGATATAAGAAGGATGGACCTTTCGGCTAAGCTGCTCCTTTGGAGGCACATCTGTCCACTCAAATATCAGTCATCCCCCCTTTCTTCTGCTTAGAGGCCTGGTGCCTGTCCTGGACTTATTTCCTATGTGGTTCTGCCTCCCCACCCCCATTGCTTTTTGCTGAAGTTTTTAAAAGCTGAGGAAATGAGAGAGTGGTTCCAAACTCTTTCTCAATACATAAAAAAACTGGAGAGAGTTTCAGTGCTTCAAACTGGGTGGGTGGGTGGAAGAGCGCAGCGTCCTCTTTTCTCAGCCATCCAAATAATATGAGAGGCTCCAAGCTGCCAGGGACTTGAATTTTTCCCCAGCTGGAAGAGGTGGCAAGCAGCAGGGGGGTCTAGAGGGAGAGGGAGGTGAGCTGATTTGCCAGATGCCCCCCACAAAATAAAGTCCCCTTCCTCAGTTCTTTGTGCATCATTTGCCTCTTCTCCAACCCCTGCCCTATTGCTCAGCATTGCTCACAACAGGTATGGGTCTCGGGGGGCAGCAGCCAGGGCTCTTGTTGTCACCCACTGACCTCAGTCAACCTGCTGGGTAGCTCCAGGGCTTGAAATGGGCTGGCAGGCTCAGGACCTGCAGCCCATCTGGCACCTATGGCGGGAGCCGTACTGATGGCGGAGTCAGCATCTAGGGTTTACTGTGGTTTTTTTAAAAAAATTGTACATCTCAGTTGCAAAGAAGCCCGTACTTCGATACTACCAATCCTGTTGAGAATGGGAATCCTTTTATGGTATAGTGGTCTTCCTCTTTATTCCTGAGCATAATACCCTGGGAAATAGTTCAAGAGAGATTCTACAGTGCATCGACTCAAAATATGGACTCCAGGAAACATATAATGTTTCTACCTCCTTTCAGGTCCAGGATGCAAGCGATTGGGCATAGACGGAGACAGAGAAGCAATCCCACTAACACTACAGATCGCCTATAGCAAGGTAAGTCTGAGAAGGCAAGGGCGGCTGTAGTGGGATTCCAGCTAGGGAGTTCCAGGCTTTAGCTGGGCTAGATGGTCTGCTTCTGTGTATTAAAGAGAGGGAGGGAGAGATGACATGTGAGTGAAGATCTTGGCCTTTGAAAATGTCTCTCTAATTGGGCAGAGTTGGAACTGTAAACAGTAGTTCTGCATTATTTCATGGAAAGGGAGAGGGAACGTTTCTCCGGACTGGAGAGTAACTATTCCTGATTCTTCCAGAGGTCGGTCAGTGGAAGAAGTCGCTGGAGTGACACTGAGAAAGTCTGCACCTCTGTGAACCTCAGCAAGGCCTGTAAGAAGCAGGAAGAGCTTGGTGAGTGTTGGCAGTAAGTCTGCCGCTTAAAGGCAGCTAAAAAAAGAGATCCCAACATTTGGGTGAAAATAGGGTGGAAGATCTGGAGGTGCTCAGCTGACCCAACACAACAGGCTCCCAAGAAGGGGGCACTTGAGATAATGCTCTCTGTTTTCACTTCACTTTATGCTCTGAGTGTGTGCATAAGGTAAAGGTAAAGGTTCCCCTTGACATTTTAGTCAGTCGTGTTCGACTCTAGGGGGCAGTGCTCATCCCCATCTCCAAGCCATAGAGCCAGCATTTGTCCGAAGACAGTTTCCGTTGTCACGTGGCCAGTGTGGCTATACACACAACTCTGTTTACCTTCCCATCAAGATGGTACCTATTTATCTACTCGCATTTACATGATTTCGAACTGCTAGGTTGGCGAGGAGCTGGGACAAAGCGATGGGAGCTCACTCCGTCGCGTGGATTCGATCTTACGACTGCTGGTCTTCGACCCTGCAGCACACAAAGGCTTCTGTGGTTTAGCCCACAGCGCCACCATGTCCCGCCACCAAGTCCCAGTGTGTGCATATCTGTATGCAACTCTCTCATGTGTGCATAAACGAATGGCCAGAGTCCTGTTGCTTAGGATAGCAAATTGCACTCAAGTAGTGCCATTGAATCAGTGAGGATTTAGTAAGTCAAGTCCTCTGTAAGTTCAATTAATTCAAATGGGTCTAAATCTAGTTGCATTTGACTACAGTAAAGTAAGTCACAGTTAGATTGGCCCATTTGAATAAATGGAATTTCGGGGAGGGGTTGACCCCAAATTCCTATAGATTCAATGGACCTACTCTAGTGCAATTTACTGTGCTAAGCAACAGGATTTCAGCCTGTGTGTATTTCTTAGACCGAAGAGAGTGAATTTTGAGGGAGAGAATTTTGAGGGAAGAGAAATATGGCAATCATAGAAAAATATAAGCAAACACAGAAACACAGCTGCTTGAAGTTAATTGCTCTTCCTTCATTTTGATAATGTTAATGGTAATACACATTGGAGCTCTGTTTTATTTTTGTATGCAGACACATGTAATCATATTCTTGGCCTTCAGGTGTCACAAAATTTCTTTTCTTAGGAGATGCTAGTTACACGACATGAATGATCCCAGGGGTGGAGAACACCAGGCTCAGAGTTGGCTCTCATCCCCATTCTCTATGTGGAAATTCTAATTTTAGTCTGCTGAATCAATTTGTTTGCAGTCTGAAATGGTCTCGGTTGCCTAATTAGGCTGAATAGGGACCTACAAAAGAAAAATATTTTGGAAATCATCTAATAAATTTTTATTTTATTTACTTCTTTAAAATCAAAGATTGGCTCGTTTAATACAGCGTAGATGTTTGGAAGCTAGAAATTTGATATTTTGACCTATAGTGGAGTGAGGGCATTGGAAAGTGGGGGCTCAAAATCATGGCATATAGGGGACTGGAAATCATGATAAATCAGGTAAGATTAAAATATGGGCTAGATGGGAAAATAAAAACAGAGAAGCCAGGAACATCCTATCTGGTTATCACTGAAACCTCTGCCCAGAACCTTCTCTTTTCTGCCTTCATGAACGTGCACCTTCATGAAGCTGCCAACATGCTTTTTTCTGATGAACATGAAAGCCTGCTTCACCTTCTATCTGTCCATGCTACAGTCTACTTTAATGTGTGGTGGATAGACTATCGGGCTAGGACTGGGCTTGAATCCCTACTTAGCCATGGGAACTCATTGGGTGATAGCAACAGTAAACCACTCTTTGAACATCTCGCATATCTCGGAGAGCCCGCAGGGATCACCCATAGGTCAGAAGCATCTTGATGACGTTCAGAGTAACTAAACAAACTTTAGTATTTGAGATTATGTATACATGTCATTGTGAATATTGGAATAATCCTGGGATGTGATTACTGAGGCTTTTATACACTACCCCTCTAGTACCACCAGCTTTTGCCAAGAATAGCTGTGTTGGCCATAATGTTGCAGTGTGGCTTATTTACCAAATATGCCAATTTTGTATGGGTGAGGCCTTTAGCCCAGATAAGCTAGTTTCATTTTCTTCCCCTTTTTCTCCAGGTTTGAAAACAGAATGTTTGACACTCACTGCAACAGAGGTGATCAAGAGGCAAAGCTCCAAGTCTAAGAAGAGTTTCAACCAGGTAGTTTGACCCATGGCCTCCTTCTGTGGATACATTTGTCCTGATTTCCTTATGTTAGTGGGTGGGGCTAGAATGTTTAGATATTTGTGAAGCCCTCAACCTCTTCATGACAACAAATCGATACGGTGGGGGAATGTTTCTCTTGCAGCAAATCAGTGTGTCACAGATAAAAGTGGACAAAGTCCAGATCATAGGAGTCAACTGTTCCTTTGCTGTCTGCTTGGACCAGGATGAGCGGAAGATTCTGCAGAGTGTCACCAGGTAGGGCTGATAGCATGATATTTCCTTGGAATTGAAAATGTCTGTTTTATGGAGGCAAATACAGTGGTGCCTCGCATAGCGATGTTAATTGGTTCCAAAAAAAACATCGCTATGTGAAACCATCGCTATGCGAAACACCATTTCCCATAGGAATGCATTGGAAACCGGTTAATCCGTTCCAATTGGAACGGATTGCCGTTGTTAAGCGAAAAAACCCATAGGAAACATCGCTAAGCGAAACAATGTATCCTCCATTGGAATGTATTGAAGCTGACAATACATTTCAAGGGCTTTGCGAAGTCAATTTTTACAATTTTAAATGTGTCATAAAAGGGTCAAAAATGGTTTTAAATGCTTGGATTAGCTTCTGCACCCTCTAAAACGGATGCAAAAGTTAATTTGGCTTTGATCTGACTTTTCGTTAATTTTTTCTGAATTTTTCCCCCCCAACTTTTGACAGCTGTCAAAATCTGACAGCTCCATTATTTCCTATGGGGGAAGAAAAAATTCACAAAAAATTAATGAAGACTCAGCAACTGTTCTAAATTCTTGGGTTCGTTAGAGGACCCCCTAAGTCATGTGCAAACCTGATTTGGCTTTGATCTGAACTTTCGTTAATTTTTTGTGAATTGTTTTCTCCCCCATAGGAAAGCATAGAGCTGTCAGATTTTGACAGGTCCATTGGTTCCTATGGGCCAAAAAAAAAAAAATTCACGAAAAATTAACGAAAAGTCAGATCAAAGCCAAATCAGGTTTGCACATGACTTAAGGGGTCCTCTAACGAATCCAAGCATTTAGAACCGTTTTTGACCCTTCTAAGACACTTTTTTAATTAAAAAAAGAAACATCGTTAAGTGAAGCAGGGGACCTAAAATCGCATTCGTTATGCGAAGCATGGTCCCAAACTTCGCTAAGCGAAAATCGCCCATAGGAAACATCGTTATGCGATGCATATTATTTCCTAAAAAACCACATCGTTATGCGAATTCATCGCTAAACGAGGCAATCGTTAAGCGAGTCACCACTGTAATGGGAAATTGATACCTCCTGAGCTAACCTGGATTAAGATTGATCCAGTGGGCCTTGCAATGTTTCCTGTAATTCAAAGGCTTCTGGAACAGGGATAATTGCTTTCTCAAATCAGGATAGCCTGAATGCAAGACTACTGCTTGAAGGTATTTGTAACTCTAGCTCTGGAGAGGTGTTTTGATGCCAGTGCTGTTGCCTTCACTAATTCATACCTGTCTCTACTCATTACACCTGTCTAGGCTTTAATATGTCCCTGGAGCTCTGTTAATTTCACCTTTGATCAGGTCAAATTAAACAGTGTTAGATTGCAGAGCCAGCTCCTCATTCACACATTCAGGCTGATGCTTCAAGAGGGTTCAGTTTGGAGCACTTTCTTTTTCTAATCTTTGGTTCCTAAGAGCTCGCAAGGAGACTCTAACACTTTAAGATTTGTGTGTTTGGTCCAGGAGCAGGAAGGGTCAGCTTATATATACACATGCATAGCAGGGATGTGTGTCTTTCAATGTCTTCAATAAGTCCAAAGCAGAAATGGGGAGTCCATGATGTTCAATATGTGGTTGGACTGCAGCTCTCATCAAGAATAACCAGAACAACCAGTGGTGAGAGATGATGGACATTACAGTCCTTGTTGAGCCACACACCTCCTATCCTTAGTCCAAAGAAAAGTGAGCTTAGATGTTGAATAAAACCTGATGTGGATAACGCCGGGGTTGGTGTGTTTCAAAAGTGTAGGGAGTTTTGACTTACTTGACCCCTGATGCAGTGCAGGATCATGCAGGGAAGGAAGGTGTGTGCTCTCCTTGAAGAGCAGCACAGTGAAGATTTGCAGGATCCAAACTCTGATCCTTACCTACCTTGTATAATGAATGGAGGGATAAAAAGACCTGGGATGGAATAGTGGTCAGGATGTGCTGGCTTCAGCATCATGAGAGCCATCAGGTTGAACTCCTCATATGTCTTGAAACTGTGGCAGCTGATCCTTAGTGTCTCCCATGGAGCCTATTGCTGATACAGTAACAAAGGAAAATCTGGTCTGCATATTTCCTATAGGTTGCTGCATCATCAAATGAACCACATGCTTTGCTTGGTGGGTGGCAATAGTACTTTGTTTGGCATAGTTGTTGTTATTTTCATGCTGAACAAGCTACACTGGTGTGACTTTGGGGTTTTGCTGTTTTCATAGGTGTGAAGTCTCGGCCTGCTACAAGCCCAAGATCAGTGAGCCCTGCAGTGGAGGAAAACCTGTTTCATCTTTCCCTCCCCAGGATTCTTCAGATTTCTGCTCTCTTCTGTGTTTGCCCATTGCCACCTTCAGTGGGGCACTGCCATAGGGAAGCTGGAAAAGATGGACTGTGCGACCCCACTTCCAGCACCTGGTACTGATCATAGTTTCTATCAGACACCCCATGGATCAGAGCTTGCTGCCAAATGTTCATCAGGCAGAGGTTAGTCAGGGTGAGTGTGCGTGTTATGCTGCCGTCTCCACCCCTATATTTGGGTGGCCTGGCTTTGGCCAGATTGTTGTAAGACAGCCCTCCTAAACTGGGGCAGGAAACACTTGGCATTCTTGGAACAGAAGCACATTTCTTAGAGAAAAGAAACATTGACCAGCAAATTGTTGGGGCTACACCACTTTTGCTCCCCAGTTGGTGGTTTTTTTTTATTTTAAAAGATCACCTGAAACTCAGGATGGCTGTTAAAGGTTTGTGTCAACTGGAAGTTGGGAAATAAGATCAAGGAGAAAGGGACATACCACTCCCTTTGTCCCCTACTTCTTCCCAAATGTATGGCTGGCTGGCTGCAAGGGGAGAGAAAAACTAGAAGAGGCAATGATGAGAAGCAAAGTATTTTCTGTACAATGCCCTAATCTGACAATAAATATTAGATGACCCAGAGTACTCCTCTATATAAAAGCCTGGAAAGGAACACACTATTAGCCCCAGTTGTTCAGGAGGGTGGGCAAGAAGTTCCCTTCACTCTGGATGAATCTCTAAAGAAACAAGTGCCATTCACCTCATTTCCACAGGAACTAGTGGCTCCGAGTAGTTCTTAGCCATGGGTGCCTTCATTGCCAACTCTGTAAATTGTGTAAATGTGCAGCATTATTTAAGACTAATAATACTGTTTGGAAGGCATGAGCCATTCCGGCTTTGGGTCAGATTGTGGCAGGACAAACCAGACATTTTGCCCTCTGGGTGAAAAATGCAATCCCCCTAAGACCTCTGCCGGTCTCTCACCTGTTGAATGTGAAGATGGAACTTGTATTGCCTATCTTGCCACTCCTTCCATCAGCTTTGCTCAGTTTGCAAATGCTTCCAGGTAGCTCCTGTCCAGATAGCAGGACTTCACATTCTTATAGGTCAGGAGTTACCCACCTATCGCCTCCTCTTGTTTTCAATCACAAGACCCATAACCTTATGACATTGATCATGCTGGGTGGGGCATCTGGCAGTTGGAGTCCAGAACATCTGAAGATCAAATGTTCCCCATGCCTGTTATGGTCACTGATATTGGGCAATGGCAAATGCAGAAATTTCACTGCAGTTTAAAGTGCAATTGTGGTATAGTTAATTTGAGGGTGCATATTTGTACTTCTCTGCAAATCCTGAATGAGTGCCAGGGTTTCTTTAGGATTGTCTTTCATTTCCAAGGAAATGGAGGGTGGTGTCTGCTCTTGGGTCTCACCTATTAGGACCACCCAATAGAAGGTTCAGAGACAGTTGTGGAGTTTGTGAATTTGAATGGCTCCCACTAAGTGCTAGGTAACAAGCCCCAATGCAACTGAAAGAGAACAATCCTGGCTTCTCCTGCTCTAATGGGAGGGCATTGTACATATATGGTTTATATTCCTCCAGGAACAGCAAAGCCATGTCCAGCTGAGAAACGTAGGTAGCACTGAAGTCCAAACACCATTTTACTTGAATGAATCTATTTTTAAAAAAATTGGAAAAATGATGTTTACATGCTGGTTTTGAGGGGAAAATACTTAGCTAAGGAGCTCATGATTCAAGATGGGCAAGCCTGATCAAAAGAACATTTGGAATGTCAGTGTTGCAAAGTTGTGTGTTTAGAATGTGCAGGACGAAAAAAAAATCCAAAGCTTTGGACAAGTTTTTATTCTGTCATGGTGGAGCTTGTTGGAAACAAATACCTACCCATATTGTTAAAGTAACAGCCCCAGAATAGCTTCCTCTGGAAAAAGAGACCAACTCAAGATCCTGCCTGGTATACCACAATCTCAGGGTCAAGTGCAATGGGGTTTACCCAACATATCCATAAATAGTTCAATTATAAAGAAATTACTTGGTGAACAGTGGCAGAAAGTCACAAATTCGTCTCTGCAAATCTGCCAGGAAGGACTTTGTTTTGCACACAAGCCATGGGATGATGTTTTAATAACTGTTTGTGAGACCTGCTGATTTCCTTCCTTGGCTGAAGCAGTGGAATTGCCTCTGGTTCATGCTGGCATCTGAAAACAGGGCTGTATGCAGTAAAAACCGCCTGGCTGTGAACTGATTTGCAGCCCCAAAAGCATTATGCGGGAGTGTTCAATGAGAGGCTTTTGAAATGAAAGAATGAGAATGTATACACTGTAAGTATTTTTCATCTCCCTGTACAAATATCTCACTTGAACTTCGGTAAACTTTTGTGTGCTGGAGCTTTTTAAAAATAATAATTTCAAAAGCTGCCTCTTGAAATTAAACTGTACATAATCAGCAGTGTAAATTCCTATTATCAATTTGTATAAAGTGGTCTTAAGGAATGTTTTAATGAAAATTGTAAAATTATTTGTACAATAAAGCAGCACTTTCCTAAATATGACTCTGTATGTTTTAATGATCAGTTTGTGAGTTTCTTTTGTCACCATCTTGAATGGTTTAAATTTAAACTCTTAATGTCTTTGATGTATTGTTCTAGTCATTTTTTAGCCTAGAGCTCTGCCACATGATGATGAAGACGGCTATAAAGAGAAGCTTATTATCTTGTTCAGTCACTGTATGGCATCAAGGAACCACATGTTGATCAACTGGCATCGATAAAGCCTTTCCTATTGTTAGAGGGGCATTTTTTGTGATGTTTCTTTGAAGCAGGACTAGCATTTTAAAAAAAGGTCTCTGGAGCTTGTAAAGGGCTACACCTCCCCTGAAATAAAACTTTTTAAAAAGCAGAACCCAAATTCTACAAAATGCTAAATGTTTTGCTGGCACAACATGGTGTGTGTGTGTGTGTACGTCACACCTTGTTTTAAATACAAATTGCAGAGTTCTCTTTTCTTGTGGGGGATAATTTTTTTGTGTGGATTTTTTTTTCTGGAGTCTTGAGGACTACAAAAACAGTCTGAGAACCACTTGTGAACTAAATGAGCATCCCTTCCCACTAGAATTACTTTCCTGTTTTGTTGGATCTCAAATCCTTTTTGATATTGCAATTTTCAGGGCCTCCTGAGTGCCGTTGTCTTGTATGTTACAATATACCCTGTTTCAATTTAAAATGTTTATAGCACCTATGTAATCAATTCCCAAAATGTAGAAACAGTTCTTTTTAAAAAATTAACCCTGCTCTTAAAGCAACTCCAGTATCATCTTTGGACTCCGAGTACTGAACAAAAATAGGGCAGCTGTTTAGCTCCCAGGCCTTGTCAGACCTCTGGACATGCCAAGTTCTCAGAGTTACGGAGATTAAAGTGCTGAGCACACTCAAGAATTCTCAGAGTGTTATAACTTCAATATATTGAGAGCTGGGGTGGAATAAGACTGCCTAGGGCTATATTTTAGGACATTGGGGATGAAGAGCATCGCCACTTGGTCAGTCTTAGCCAGCAGTAGAAATAGACTCTAAAGGAAAGTGGTATGTGAGATATAGAAGCCCTGGCTGTTTGAGCTGTACACAGTCTGTTTGTGAATTATTTTATGGCTAAATCTTCCATAGTTGTGCGAAGCTACACCATATTTTCCATGGTCCATGTTCATTCCAGTGTGATGCCATCCTGTGAGTTTTGCTCAGCCAATTTTTTAAAATTTATTTGATTTTTTATAACACTCATCTAGCTGCTAGGGCCACTCTGGGTGGTTTACAAACAGGGTAAATGATAACATACTAACAAGGGTAACCAACAACACCCAAATAAAAGGTACTAGACAAATTGCACTAAAAACCACATAATAAAACGGAAATAGAAACATGGTGGTAGATTGAATGTTAGTTATTGAAGGCACTATTGTATCAGGGTGTTTTGAAATTTGAGAAGGCCTGTCTGAATGGCCACATTTTTAATAGTTTTTTTAAAAGATCAATTTAGCTCGTGTTCTCTTGCTCATCACTCCAGGTGGATTTGGGAGCCTTGTGTCAATACAGAGAGCTGCTGTCAGAATTTACTGATTTCAAGAGGGACAAGAGCATCCACAAACCACCATATAGGGACAGTAGGGATGTACCAATGAGATCTATCTAAATTAGACAGTTATATTGGTTTGATACAATTTTATCTGTGATAGTTGCACCCTGTAGCATCATGGGATTTGTAGTATGGTGAAGAACATGGTATTCTCACTGCTATGGTACAGAGGTGTGTAGACCTAGAACTCTTGAGCACATAATTCTGATTTCCCTCCTAAACCACAAATCCCACAGAGTAAATTTCTTACTCTGGAACTACAACAATTAAATTGATTTTGCTCTGATCCAACTGTGTAGGTGCACCATCTGAGAATTAAAAAAAAGAACGTGGAAAAGATGTTAGAGATGGGGGGGAAGGAAGTGTCAAAGTATACGTAAGGCAGAGGGGAATAGCAACATGGGGAGGCCCTGGAAGCCCAGCTATCATCAACGAAAGAAAGCAAATATGTTTAGGGGGCGTGATTTTGGCATCATGTTAGATTTTTTTTCCTTTTAACCGAGGCACTATCTCTCCATGGAGTGACAATACTGAACACTTAAAAATTATCTACTACATTTGGGACTATATCCATTTGAAACACCTTCACTGCTTAGAAACCAAACAAAACCTTGAAATCAGTAGCGACTTGACTTTTAATCATATGTGCTGTCAAGTGGATCCAAAATTACACAATCCTCTCATGGGTTTCTAGGTCCAAAGGACTCAACAATGGTTTACCAGTCCCTCCTTCTGGTGGACTGTGTCACAGACCCAAGACTACAGCATTGGCAATACAGATTGCTCCATAAAGTACATATGCTCTTGGTTGGTCCCCTTCCTAGGAGGCATGGGGGGGGGGAGGTTTCAAAGTCCCAGCAGGTGTTCCAGCCCACTGAACGATCCCACCTTAGCCTGCTTTTTACACTTGTTTAGTAGATAGCACTCACATGTTTTTGCTCCCTCAGCCAGTGTTTTCAAGTCATCTGTCTAGTAGTGGAATTATTCTTGTGCTTAATACTATGAAAGAAAGGGATTGTTCAAAACATGAAAAGTTCCTTGTTTTTCACCTGTTTGTGAACGCTGAATCTCTTACATCCAGACTAAGAATTCCATTTTTAGTGCAGACACATTCCCTTAGGAATTTGTATCCTACAGTTTACTGGAAAGACTCATGCAGAATCATGAACAATCACAAGCATGCTTTTCTTATAAGGAAACAGAAATCTGATCAATCGTAGAAAGAGACTTGGACTGCAAACATGTGATTTTCTTCATACTCACAGGATTTTGCTGGCAGTTTCCTTGTGCTACAAGAAGAGCAACACTTTTAATAAATCAACAATCCAAAACTCTGGCCTCAGAAATCAAGGATCCTTGAATAAATATTAAAGCCAAGTACCCTGTTGCTTATTAACAGTCCATTCCACATATGGTTCCTCTTTCCCCACTGCTTGCACCAGGGGGAATTCAAAGCTTCCACTTTGTGAAAGTGGAAATTCCCATTGTTTTCAGTGTAGTTATCACCTGTTTTCATAACTGCGAACTTGGAGATTGTGAAGGCAAATACAGAGCAGTCTACTTGTGGAATCCTTATGCTCCACAGCCTAAACAAATTTAGCTAGGAGACAACACTTTGTATATACTTTGGGGACCGGATGACCTCTGTGTCACAACAACACATCAAAGAATTAGATACCAATCCACTACAACCCAGTGGTCTAGACATACACTTTGAAATTTTCAGTATAGCTCTGTAAGTTTTTTTTTTCTCCAAGAGGAGCAGATATTTTACGAAGCTAATGGATCTTAACTGTCCATTCAACACCAAACCTCCATTACTTGGCATTACAATAGCTCATATCAATATAGGATGGCTGGGGAAAAAAATTCTCCCTGCTGCTCTGAGGACTTCAGCTTAAACCCACAGATCTGTGCCACCTTGAGGGCCAGAGCGGCCGGTGATGCCACAATCCCTGCTAAATTATCAATATGCTCCTGTGCTTTCACTCCGAGTCCTGGCGTGCATACTAGGCATGAAGACGTAAAGGAAGAATTGTAATCTAGGCATAAGGAGCAGAGTCATGGGTAGCAATCTGCAGTTGTGTCGTCAAGAATCCCCTTCTTTAAGGGTTAATGATAAGTCAGCTTTGTCTATGAACCAGAGGGCTTACTAAAGCAGTGAGTTTAGAACACGTGTTTAATCTTCTCAAAAGATGCTTGTTGTTTTAAAGCACAGTACAGAAGAGTCTTTCCTGTTACATGCAAGGATATAATCTTCTCTTTGTATACACAGTGATTGTCATTCCAAGGGCATAATCATCCCTATTAAAGCACAGTACAGAAGATCTTTCCTGTTACATGCAAGGATATAATGTTCTCTTTGTATACACAGTCATTGTCATTCCAAGGGCATAATCATCCCTAACCCCAATAAGCTTTTGAACTCTTTGAATTTAGAAAGTACATACTTCTAGAAGGAGATACAGTCTTAGTATTGGTTGTGAAAGCCTTCGAGAATACACAGTCTTAGTATTACTAAGTGAAAAGTATTATAAACTTATTGTACCTTTCCCCCTTTTAACAGGATTGCAAAATCTTTAAAAAGACAGTAAAAATGATGAGGAACATGGAAGGATTACAAATGAAAGATAAGGACATTCAGACTTCAGTCCCCACCCCTCCCACTTTTGTGTGATTGAGGGAGGGTGATTGGTCAATAAAAGTGGCAGTTGAAATCACCCTGAAAACAAGCCTTAGGATAAAATCTATTTAGGGAAAACTCCAGGCAATCAAATTTTATGCTTTCCTCATGAAGTCAGTAGCAGCTTATGGAACAAGCGATTTGGATGGTGACCTTGTGATAAATGTTGAAACACTGATACTTATTGTAACAGTTAGGGCAGACTCCACACAAGAAAAGAATGAAGCATTATAGGGTAGCACATAATGTGCTACAGTATTTAGTTTGTTGTTGTTTTCAGTGCCAGTGAATGGTTGTGCTTATGGGTGCTTCTGCCTCATTGCCAAAAGAACTTGGTTGGCTTTGTGTATCTGCTGGATCTCATTCTTCATAAAATTTGGGGACAACTGCATGCTACAACTTCTGGAAAAGGGTTGGCCCTACCATTAGGCAGACTGAGGCAATAACCTCAAGCAACCAATGCTGGGGGATACTTCTAGCAGTCCCCTGCTGTATGCCTTGACTGTTTTGGAGGACAGTCATGTATGGCATGCAATTTATCCTGGACCCTCTAAAGCAGATTTGTACTTCAGGTGTAGTGTGGTGGAGAAAGCTTGAAATACAAATCGTGTGTGTGTGTGTGTGTGTGTGTGTGTGTGTGAGAGAGAGAGAGAGAGAGAGAGAGAGAGAGAGAGAGAGAGAGAGAGGTACTTCATCTTGTTCTGTAATACTGTGTCTCCATTTAAGAGATATATATTTTCTCATTGCAGAAGAATTATCTGACTTTTTCTCCTTCTGTCAGACCTCAGCTGGAAATCTGTGTCTAGTTCAAGAAAGATATCAACAAGGTGGGTTTTGAAGGCAAGTCCTTGGAGAAGCAGTAGAAGAAATTAGGGCCCAGGCATGTTTAACATGGAGAAATGAAAACTAGGAGAAGATACAACAGTAATCTTCAAGTATTTGAAGAGCTGTCCCACAGGAGATGGAATTATCTTGTTTTCTATGGCGCCAAAGAATAGGACCCAAACTAACAGTTTCATATTATAGGAAAGGAGATTCTGACTGAACATTAGGAAGATGAGCTGTTCAACAGTGTAGGTGACTACTTTGGAAGTTGTGGACTCTGTTTAATTAATATAACAGCAGCAGTAGCAACAACGGCAACAGTAATAATCCACTACACAGACAACATCTGAGAAACACTGATGGAAGGCATGACAATAATTTAAGATGGGCATGGCTAAAACTGGAAACTGTTAAGAAAGAAACTAAAAGCTTTAATTTTTGCTGCACAAGAACAAGCACTCCAAACCAATGTGGTAAAGCTAAGATTAAATGAAGTAGTGTTAACAGCGAATGTCGACTGTGCGAGGAAAAAGATGAAACTGCATCATACCTCATCTGTGAATGTCCAAAGATTGCACAAACCAGTTACAAAAGTGGACATGATAGCATGGCAAAATTTGTGCACTGATCATTGTGCAAAAAATACATATAAATAGCCAGCTTCCAAAAACCCATGGGAACATCAGATAGAGAAGGTATCAGAAACTGAAGAAGTCAAGGTCTTGTGGCATTTCTGGATCCAGACAGATAGACACCTTGAACATAACATACCAGACATAGTAGTAATAGAATGAAGAAAAGTCTGTATCATTGACACTGCAGTTCCAGGAGATGCCAAAGTTGTAGCTAAAGAATTAGAAAAAATAACAAAATACAGAGATCTGGCAGTCAAAACATCTTGCTTGTAGATGAAACATACCTCAGTGGTCATCATCCTTGGGACCTTGGGAATAATATCAAGTTGCAGATTTCATAAATAACTTTATTAGAGCTACAAAAAAGGCAATATTAGGAACAACAGTGTAGATACTACGTCAATATTTAACAGATACTTAGGATATTACGTCAATATTTAACAGATTTTTTGGTTAAAATTTGTATCTGTTATGAAATACCAGTCAATGTTTTTATAATTTTGATTGTCTGTGCCCGGTATTTTTGAATAATGATAATAATAATTGCTGTCAAGTCAAATCAGATTCATGGTGACTTTTCCCAGTGGTTTCTAGGTAAAGAATATTCAGAAGTGGTTTACCGTTCCCTTCTTTTGGGGGTATCTTGGGACTCTGAAACTTGCCCATTGGCTTGCACAGGTTGGTTCTTCGTCTTGAAAGCACAGTGAGGAATTCAGCTCCCTGTGGCTCTGCAGCCACATACCCAACCCATTGAGATATCCTGCCAGCTCTGCTTAACTAGATATTTTTAAATGGAGGATAAAAGGCCATCTGCTGGACTTGCTTTAGCTGTGGATTCTTGTATTGGCAGAGAGCTGGATGAGATGAGCCTTGGGGTGCCCTTTAGCTTGAGAGGTCTACAATTCTTTATGTGAAATACGGAACACAATTTTCTCTTATGCTTCAAGCAGTGAAATGTCTGGAATTCCCCAGGGAGTTCAGCTAGGAAAAAAACCCTTTAATGGTTGGCTGCCTCCTGTGAGATGTGTGTTCATGTTATTAACTACAGTGTACAAACCATACTCCCCCATTTCTCCCCCCCTTCTTTATTTGTGTGGTTGCTGTTTAAGAAGGGTACCTAGTTTTCAGGATCAAAACTTAGCTTATGTCACTGAAAAATGGCTGGCTGAAAAGCTTCCTGCCTTGTGTCTGCAGGAAAATGCCCCTGGTAAAAAATCTCAGGTAAACAGCCACTGGGGTTTAGCTCATCTTGCTTGAGAATCCTGTTGTCCCTGCTTTTTGCAATGTGATGTGATGCCAGTGAAACACATTCTTTCCAGAAGTCTTCAAACAAGGCTGGAATGCTGAAAAAACTGACACTGAGCCCCACTTGGACCTAAGTGTGAAGTGAAGAGTGCCTTAGAGCAGCTCAGCAGTAGCTGTGGACAAAGGTCCTTGAGGGTGAGCCTGATTTTAAAGAACTCAGACAGAGACAGCATGTTGTTCCGGCAGGAATGTGGAACTGGAACAGCTTCGTGTTACTTTTTCCCCCCTCTTGTTTGTAGGACAGCCTTGTTAGGGGATCCCCATGCTCTGTCCCTCCTGACGTTTAGGGAACTACTAAAGAGAGAACTTCATAAAGGGAAATTCAAGAACACAGTATCCCGGCTGTTTGGAATTTCTAATTCTTAGATTTAGGGGTAGGTGGGTTGTTTTGTTGTCACCATATTGTTTGGGTTTGTGTGTGAGTGGTGTCAAGGTGGGGGTATGGGTGTCTACCCGTCAGTTTTGTAAACTGCCCAGAGTAGTGGGTATCACTAAATGGGACAGAACACAAGTTAAATAAATAAGCAAATAAATCCTTTGTGTTAGATGCAGCAGTGTTTTCCGTAGGCAACTAAAACCACTTTGTTTCTCTGTTTCTTGGGGCAATGAAACAGAGAGAGGCTGAGTTTAGAGAAAACTGGTTACTAAAACTTATTTTAATGATAAATTGATAGGAAAGTCTGATAACTAATCCAGCTAGCAGATCATATGCTAGTCTGGAGCACATGGTCTGAGAAGTTGGGGGAGGGATAGCTACACCCTCAAGAGAAGTGTTAACAGGGTGAGAGGAAAGAGAAGACTAACTAAAGGCCTGTCCAGAGGGAGGAATTTAGAGCAGAAGGCTGGTTTGGATTCAGAAGGCTCTTATCTTCACTGTGATCTATTTTGTCTCTCTCCTGAGTGATCTTTTCATTCACACTGGAGATGTTTATTCCCCTTGACAAGGGCATAGACAGCTCTTTGGAGCACCAGTTTACTTATGATTAAGGTTTACCTGGTTTACTTGTGAGGAAGAAGGCAACGCCACAAGCGGAGATATTGGGGTGAAGGTTGGAGAGATAGAAGCGAGGTAACCCCCCTTTCTTCTCAGCCAGGGCTCTGTAGGGGCAGAGCTTGAGCAAGCAACCCAAAGAAAGGCATTTGATTCTTCAGGAGGGAGGGAGGGTATGTTTATGTGGTTGAGGAAAGCCAGTCTTCAATCCAGCTTGTTTTCCTAGTGGCTGATTTTGCTTTCCACCCATCTCCTCAACCCTCCACAAGCAGCTACTAAGCAATAATGGAGGGGAGGAGAGATACTGTTATCTGTTGATGAATTTGGGCAGTGGGTGGGGGGTGACACAGACCCTTCCCCAACTTTTCTCATGGTCATCATTCAGTGGACCACAGTGACTTTCCCTTATTTTTGTTAAATAAGGTAAGTGGCATAGGGAAACAGCAATCATCTTAATACTCCCCAGAGTTTCTCATTAATCTAGAATAGTACTGAATCAATAAGCAATTTTTTAAAGTAGTAAAGAAAATAAAGGAGAGGGTTTTCCCGCTTAAACATGAAATAATTTAGGACCTTAGCATGTCTTAATTCGGCCCTAGTTGGGGATGATGGGAAATGACAGCCATTCCACTAGGTTAGAGAAAACTGCATAACGCCACTTACGTTTGTTATAGTATGCATTATATAACCGGCTCACAGGGAAAGTAGAATTTATGACTGCTAGCATCCTGTTCAGCACAAGAGGGGCTGACCCAGGACTCAGGGTTGCCTGGATATCACGTGGGTCCAGGGCTATTCAGGTATGAACACCCGCAGCGTTTCTTCCCCCTTGTCCTAAACAACGAGGAGCATTGTCAGAGCGCCGGAATCAACAACCTCTTAAGAAATGCGCTGCTTCGTAACGAGAAGGGGACTGGCCCGGACGCAAAAACGAAACATCCTGGCACAGGTGAGCGAAGAAGGATGAAAGGAGCCGGCAGGTCCTTTCATCCTCAGGTAATGCGGAAAGAGAACCAACCGGCCCAGTAAGTGCCAAGGGCTGCCTGGCAGTCACGGGCCAGGGCAAGTGCCTGCCTGCCCGCCTGCCCGCCCGCCTGCCACTCACCCGGCCTGGCAACCTTACACGCGTGCCGGTCCCTTTCCGCAGCTCAGCGGAGCAGAGGCGTCCTCAAGGCCCATTTCCCGGGCCGGGACCGTCGCAGAAGCCGGTCGCCAGCCTCGCTCCCCGGTGGAGTTCCTTCCAACCGTCCCGCGGCGGCGCCGGGAAAGAGGCGAGCAGCCGGGCCGGGCCGGGCGAGCGCCCCCTCGTCTCCGGAGGAAAGA